CGGCCTAGTAGGATGTTGTATGATGTGTTCGCATGCACCACGATGTATCGAATTTTGATTTCTCGTGAGGACTTCTGGTCAAATCTGAAGCGAGTGTACAAGTCGATGCACCCTCTTGTCATCACTCTTTTGTCGGAGAATCCTACTAGCGGCTCGTGATACGGTTCTAGGCTTTCCTCCGGGATTCCCAGCTGCACAAAAGTGTTCCAATACAATATGTCGGCCGAGCTCCCCTGGTCGACCAAAGTTTTCTTCACAATGCAGTTGTGCATTTCGACTGAAATAACCATGGGGTCGTCTTGGATGGGATCGACGCCACGGAAATCTCGGTCGGAAAAGGTTATTGGTGGCATCCTCGGCATGCTCGGCTAATTCATACTGTTCACAGATCGGACAGCTCGGAGGTGTCTCTTTCGCGCCGAAGAGGTGGAGCCTCCCCCGGCAAAACCTCCAGCTATGGTGTTTATTACTTTCCTTGGTCGATCATTTTCTTCTCGGGAATGCCGTGAATGTTCCCTCCTTTCGGCTGATCGGGATCGCCGGCGCCGGTCTCTCGGTGGTGATGATTCCCGAGGATGATGGTCTCTCCCCCTTGATTGGTGGCCCTGGGGAGTGACAAAGTTCCTAAGGTGACCTTGCTTGATTAGGTCATCGAGTTTGTCTTTCAGTGCCGAGCATTCTTCAGTCGAGTGCCCCCTGTTTCGGTGAAATCGGCATGTTTTAGCCTTGTCTGCTCTAGGGGGTGTGTTCGCTCTCTTCGGCATCACTAGGATCTCTGATGCAAGAGCCTGCTCCATTACCTTGGCTCTACTCGTGTTGAGGGGAGTGTATGTTGTGTAGCGTGGTCCTCTTGGGGGGCGAGCGTTTGGGAGCTGGGCATTCATCTTTTTCGTTGGTTCTCGGCTGGATTCCTTTCGCTGTAGCTCTCCTCAGCCCTGGCTTGATTTTGGGTTTCTGCCAGCTTTTCCATTTGCATATACTTTTTAGCTCGGCGTCAGAGATCGTTCATATCGATAGGTGGCATCTTGCACAAGCTATTCACAAATGGCCCCGGCCGGAGGTCAGTGCTCAACCGGTCCAACGCCACGGTAGGATTAAGATCGCTGATCTCCATGGCAATCTTGTTGAATCGGTCCATGAAGCCTCTCAAACTCTCCTTCTTTTCTTGGCGGACCCCCGCTAAGGCTAACGAGGTCGTCTTGTACAGCTTGCTCGTCGCGAATTGGAGAGTGAATTGAGATGACAACTCGTTGAACGAGTTAATGGAAGAGCTCGGCAATCTCGTGAACCAACTCAGGGCTCTTCCTTTCAGCGACATGGGGAAAATTCGGCACAAAGTCGAGTCATCTTGAGTAGAGAGGGTTGCCTGTGTCAAGAAGACATTCAGGTGTTCATCGGGGTCGGTAGATCCGTCGTACTTCTTGATTGGAAGACTCTTCCAATGATCCAACAGGGTAGCTTCCTTCGTGAGAAAGGGTGTCTTAGGGAGTGAATGCTGGTGTCGACTTTATTTCCTATCAGAGAGGTGACTGGTGTTCGGGTTACATGATCAGTTGGGGCATGGTATGCCGACTCCTCTTGAAGAGTGGGAGTCAACGACACGTAGGTCTGGTTAAGACTTTGGAGCTCCGCGTTTTGTCGGCGTAGTTCGGCCAATTCCCTGGCATCGACTTCTCTCTGTCGTCGAATAGCGGCCATTTCCTTGCGCAATGCACGCATGTGATCGTGATGACCACGTTGGGTTTGGTCGGCGGTTGGCCGAACCTCTTGTATTACAGGCTCCGGTTGTGTTTGAGGCATTCCGTACGGGTATCGTTCTTGTACGGTCATGACGGGGTTGTTCTCGGGGTTAGGGATCGGTTGAGTCGATGTTGATGGTCCTTTGCGTGTCACTACCATGTCTCGGTCTCAGTTGTAGAGTTCAAAGGGGCTGAAAAAATCGCTTCGGCCCCACGGTGGGTGCCAAATGTTCATGTGTTAGGATACACACTTCAATTATCCTTGTTGTAGCGGGTCGGGTCTTGGGTCTCGGTCTTCTCGTTTCTTTCCGGGTAGTCCGCAGTGGGGGTGATGGAAGCACTTGGTAAAGATTGATGTTCATCCAAGCTTCCATGCAAGGACCGAAAATCCTCCATGAGGTTATCACGTTTTGACCTTGGAATTCTCCTTTGAAGAAGCTTCAATGGAGGAGAAGCACCTTTGAGGAGGTTCGGTTACCTCTTAGAGAGGTGAAGAAACTTGAGGAACCAAGCTTCTAGGAGAAGGAACTTTGAGAGAGAACCTAGGAGAAGGTTTCTCACGAAATTGACTCTTGAAAATGAGAGAGAAATATGATTTATAATTCTCATAAATGTCCAAAAGTGATTACAAGAGAGGGATTTACAAATATATAGGGTAAGGTAGCTTCTAGGAGAAGCTAACCTTAACCATGGTTCACTAGGAACCATGTGGTAAGGTGTAGCTAACCATCCATGGTTTCTAAAACTTGTTGGAGAAGCTAACCTTGACCATGGTTCACTTAAGAATCATGGTAAAGTCAGCCCAACCTACCAAGGTTTAGAAACTTGGAGGAGAAGCTTCAAAAACTAAGAAGAGAGCTTACAAATTTCGGCCAAAGAGAAAGCACATGAGCTAGGCGGCCAAGGCTCTAATTTCTCCTTTGAATTATTTCAAAAATTGTTGATTTGGTTTAGTTAGGTTCATCAAACATGGTAAAGTCAGCCCAACCTACCAAGGTTTAGAAACTTGGAGGAGAAGCTTCAAAAACTAAGAAGAGAGCTTACAAATTTCGGCCAAAGAGAAAGCACATGAGCTAGGCGGCCAAGGCTCCAATTTCTCCTTTGAATTATTTCAAAAATTGTTGATTTGGTTTAGTTAGGTTCATCAAATGATGATGAGACCTAGCTAAATCAAATCTATGAAAAATTAGGAGAAAAATGAGTCTAATATGCAAAAATTTGCCTAGGCCCATCTCAGGCCCAATTTCTAAGCACACTCCCTAGCTTTGCTAAATGTCACCCCCTTTTCTCTACTGAAAAAATACAAAATGAATGTATCAACTAGGGAGGTTAAATGGAGTCAAACTCTCCAAGTAACCTACCCCAAAATCAATATACAAACACTAGTTAAAAGTAAGTAAAGTGCCTCACAAATACACAGGGAAAAAGTGAACCTATACAAAGAAACTATGTGCAAACATATGAAAAGGTCTTTAAGATCATCCCATTCCTCTTGGTTCTTTTAGGATATCACCTCTTGGATTCCTTGGCCTTGGCCAAAGTCTATCAGGGAGGGGTGTGCCTGCAAAGACACTCCAACGCTCAAGTAAGTGCTCAGCGTAATAAATGCGGTAGTTGAAAGTTAGTTACATACCTCGAAGTGGACCTATTTATAGTGTTTCTTATTGGGCCGTGATTAGGGACTAGGCCCCGGAGAATTAGGGGACTAAACCGGCACATTACGTAAATTAATCTCTTCGTAATCCTCCTAGTGTAAATCCGTGCCTGGGCTGAGTAAACTGACACGTTCGGTTCCGTGAGTGGTCAGTGGTGTCGCCACCGGCCCGAAACGGGCTTTCGGCA